TTTTTTTTTTACCATTCCCTCGTGTCTTTTTGTTTTCTTTTCTTTGTTTCTTTTCTTTCTCTTATATGCACGTTCATTGGAACTAAATGTGCCGTCACTGCTACTGTTGGTCTTGAAGGCAACAGTAGCAGGGACGTACGGTCTCTGGCTGCGAGCAAGCCAGCCAGAGCCTTTGCACCCAAGCTCTCTGGCTTGTTTGCTCAACAAGCCGGAGACGGGTATGACATCTCCCCCGGGCTGATCTCGCCTTAGCGGATTTAAACCCTTCGAGGAGTTGACGCCAATGCGAAACGTGTTTGATATCCGGTTGTCTCATGTCTTCGCAACCAATGCCACGGCACGAACCATTCTCGCTTGTGACGTCTGGTCCTTCTCTTGATAAGACGCTCGATGATATAGAGCTCTTCTCCCGTCTCGTCGTCCAATATCAACGGTACAGCTTTCGAAATTGAGCGATTGGGAAAATCAGTAGAGTTTGTCTGATAATGCGACAATAACTCCACGTTGAATGTCGGGTTGAGTCTCTTCATTGACAACGGCAGTTTCAGCTTTGTCACGTTGTCGTTTATCATACGTTCAATCTCGAACGGACCGACTTTCTTCACAGCTAACTTCGCCTTCTTTAGCTCTGTGTTCTTGTTGACGGTCTTGAGTGGTAGGTTCTTTGTATCAAGTAACACTAGGTCACCTTCTTTGAACACCACTTGCCTTCGCTTGCGATCGCAGTACTCCTTCTGTCTATCTTGCGCTTCTTTCAAATTCTTCTGGGCACGTTCTACGATCTCCTGTCGTTCCTTAGCAAAGTTCTTTGCTTACTCGGCGAGGTGACGTCGTCTTCTTTACGCAATAGATCTTTCATCTCTTCTGCCACAACGTTAGAACCTTGCGGCCTGTGTCGACTTCAAATGGAGCCAATTGAGTCGACGCGTTTGCCAATGTTGAGTGCGCATACTCTATTGTTCCGAGATGCTTCACCCAATCATCTTCACGATATGGCACCATACATCTCAGTGCAACTTCGAGCACTAGATTTTGACGCTCTGTCTGGTCATCAGCTTGAGCTCGATGAGCCGTAGTCATACTCAGTTTGACATCCATCGGCGTCATCAGTGACTTCCAGAAGTCTGATATAAACTTTGGATCTCGATCACTAATAATCACTTGCCGTAAGCCATGGTGCCTGACAACAGCATTAAAGAATACTTCAGCTGTGTCTTTCGCATCAGCAGTCGTATAGGTCGGTGCATACTTCGGACGCTCAGACAACT